TTTTTTTTTTTTTTTTTTTTTTGAGATGACTGTCTTACTATGTTAAACAAGCTGGCCTCAGACTCCCAGACCAGTGAGATGGTGAACTTTTTAGATACCAAGTGCCCAAACTGCAACCCAAAACCCATTTACTTATCACAAAGTGCCAACACTGCAATTAAACCTGAATAGCCAATGCTCGGCTGCTGTGTCAATGCTGGAGCAACTTGGTTCACATGCCAACAGAGGGCTCAGCGTGCCTGCTGCAACATACACGCCATAAGTTCCCCACCACTGTCCTAGGCTGAAGGCAAGTGATGATCCTCCTACATCAGTCTCCCATTTAGATGAGACTATAGGTTTTCACCACCATGCCTGATTCAAATTGGGTTATCTTCTAATTATTGAGTTGTATGAATTCTTTTTTTTGCTCTACTGGAAATTGAAACCAGGGCTTTCACACTGAGCTACACCTCAAGCCCTTTTAATTTGTGTGTGTGTGTTTGTTTGTTTGTTTGTTTGTGTGAGTTTTTAGGATCTTTGTTTTTTTGAGACAGGGTCTTTCTTTGTAGTTCAGGCTGGCCTCAAACTCCCCACGAATCCTGCCTCTGCCTCCCAGCAGGCTTGTGTCACCACACCTTGGTGTTTTGTTTTCTGTTCTGGGGTTAGCTAAGGCCCTTAAGGATGGTAGATAAGTGCTCTACCACTACGGTATATCACTAGCCCTGTAAGCTTTCTAAGTCTGATCCATTTTAAATTAATTTGGGATATGGTATGAGGTATAGGTTAATCAAATACCTACTTTCAGGACATTAAAAACTACAGTAATCAAGGCAATATGATATTGGCAGATAAGCAAATAAAAGAGTAGAATAGAGACATGCTAAAAATAGGATCGCATGTATGCTTAGTTGGTTCTACAATAAGATACTAAATTATTTTGATGAGATTTTTTTAAAACATTGTTTATTAACAAATGATGCTAAAAACTCTTGTAGACAGGGTCTTGCTGTGTAGTTCAGGGTGACCTTGAACTCCGTGTGTAGCCCAGGCTGGCCTCAAACTTGCATAGGTCCTCCTTTCTTCCGCTACCTGAACGCTGGAATTGTAGGCATGCACCACCATGCCCAGCCAACTTTTGTCTCTATGGAAATGAATGAACTTTGACTTCATGTCATCCCATACACTAATAATAATTTGAAATGGGCCCTAAGTAGGAACATTCTTAACCCCTATTTCACTAGCTAAAGATTTGAGTGATCGGCTTTAGGAAAAAGTAGCCCAAATGTGCTAGGTTTACTGACTAGAAAGGAAAATAGAATACCCATAGTTGACTTTTAAGTTATTTTTGCAAGGAACATTTATGTATCTTAATTACGTGTACTGCATCTCATAGTCAACACAGCTTTTGGGTTGGGTATAACTTTAAAAATAGACAATTGGGCTGGGGCTGTAGCTCTGTGGCAGAGGACTTGCCTAGCACATAGGAGGTCCTGGGTTTAATTCCCGAGCAGTGCAAAAATAAACAAATAAATACATACAATTTTAAAATAGACATCAGCTGGGCATGGTGACACACGCCTGTGATCCCAGCACTTGGGAGGCTGAGGCAGGAGGATTGCTGTGAATTTGAGGCCAGCCTGAAATACATAGCAAGACCCTGTCTCAAAAAAATAATAAATAAATAAAAATAGACATCAAAAGCTAGTTATGGTTGCACACGTCTATAATTCTAGCACTGGGAGGCTGAGGCCAGAAGTTTGCATATTTGAAGCCAGCCTAAGCTATACAAGACCCTAAGACACAAAAAAATAGATACTAGATGGCTATGATGGCACATGCCTATGATCCCAGCTACTTGACAGGATGAGGCAGAAAGATCTTGAGTTCAAGGCCAGCCTGGGCATCTTAGTAAAACCTTACCTCAAAATAAAGAGGGCTGGAGGATAGGGGTAGCTCAGTGATAGAGCACACTCATGAGACCTTGGGATCAACCTCTAGTCCCAAAAAGAAAGGTCCTAATATAAGTTACCTTTTCAAAAGTAACGTATGGTGGCCAGATGTGGTGGCACACATCTGTAGTCCCGCACTCAGGAGGCTGAGGCAAAAGGATTGCTGCAAGTTCAAGGCCAACCTGGGCTACCTAGTGAGTTCAAGGCCAGGCTGAACTACATAGCAAGACCCTATCTCAAAACAAAGAAAAAGTAGTGCATGTAAATGTAACATAGTGAACTAATTTGGTAATGTTAAGTCAATGTTTTCCAAATTAAAAAAAATTTTTTTAAATGATTTACCTATTCCTGAGTTTTTGCAAACTTAAGGACAAAGAAATCAAACTTCATATAGAATGAACATTTATCTGAAAAGTATGAGGCTTATTTATAGATTATAACTTTTTACTCCTAATGGATGGTGGAAGGAGATAAAATCAGGAATATGCATAGTCAAGACAGGCAGCAACTGTATATCCGGACTTTGAATACTGTTGCCTGCTACTCTGATAGCCTAGGAGAAAGTCCGTTCATTCTGCCATTCATATTTCAGTAGCGCAAGGTAAACTCACAAATAGTTGGCGAGTATAGTCATTGTATTTCCATATAATGTAGAAGTTTCATAAAAAAACTTCCACCCCACGGAACTCATGAGTATTTGGAAGTGATTCATGGCAAGCCTTCTGAGAAGACCAACAAAGAACTCTTTAGTAATATATGAAGACCTTAAGAAAAAACTGAGGGCTGGAGATGTAGCTCAGTGGTAGCACTTACCTAACATGTAAGACCCTGGGATTAATCCCCTTGCCACCAAAAAAAAAATAGCAAAAACAAAAGCACTGTTGGTGAATTTTTTGTGAATGTATGTGGTACTGGGAAACACAGGGCCCTTTGGACTGAGCTACATCCCCAGCCCTTTATTCTTTTTTGTGTGTGCGACAGTCTTTCTATGTAGTTCAGGCTGACCTCAAACTCGCATGGATCCTCCTGCCTCAGCCTCCCAAGTCCTGGGATTACAGGCTTGCACCACCACACCTGGCCCTACTCCTAGTTTGAGACAAGGTCTCACGAAGTCACTTTGGCCCTGGCCTCCTAGAGTACCCTGACTTACTGCTGAATAACATACACAGTCATAAAATGGAAAGACTGTGAAGCTTGGTTAAGCCACTGATTTTCAACCAGAGTTGATTTTGGCCCATTTGTGGACTTTTGGCAATGTCTGGACACATTTGTTTACTGTCACAGCTTCGAGAGTACTGATGGCATCTAGTGGATACAGACCAGCGAGGCTGATGCTCCTAAACTCCTATAGTACATATGACAGTCCCTCACAGCAAGTAATTATCCCCATCTAAGAAATCTTGTAACTAAAGGGTAAGTAGGTAGCCTGGGGGATGAGCCTGGAGAGAAAGAACAGCTAAATTTCCATCATCCTCGTTGATAGGTCCTTTGATGATACCTATAGCTGAGAGGACCACCCAGGCACGATGGCTCACGCCTACTGTAATCCCAGCACTTAGGAGGCTGAGGCAAGAGGATCAACATGAGTTTGAGGCCAGCCTGAGATACATAGTCACTTCAGAGCCAACCTGAATTACATATCTTGATCCTGTCTAAAAAAAGAAAAGCTAGGAAAAAAATCAGTGGTGATACAAATATTGCTAGTATAAAATTTGTAAATAAACACCAGAAGAATCAGGTAAAGGACTGCAAGTGTAACTCAGAGGTAGAGCACTTGCCTTAACATGCACAGGGGAAAACAATCATCTAAAAAAGTTTAAAACATCAGTTAAGGGCTGGAGATTTATCTCAGTGGTCCCGCTGCCTGCCTTGAAAGTGCAAGGTCCCAAGTTCGATCCCCAGTACCAAAAAAAAAAGTCACAGGGGAAAGGAATAGAGTGGTAAAGGACTACTGCTTGTTTTAATTAATTGGTGTAATTACTTTATCCTTTATACTAAATGTATATTTAATTTTTAAATGTTAAAAGGTTCTGACATTAAGCTGAGGCATGTTAGCAGCAACTATAATCTCAGCCCTCTGAAAACTGAGGCAGGAAGATCTTGCCTTTGGGGCCAACTTTGAAACCAACCTGAGCTATATAGCAAGAGTCAGCCTGGAGGGAGGTGGGGGAGATACTGAGGTTGAAGATGGTCTCTAACCTGAAGTCACACACTGGATACTTTCATTGGTGTACACTCTTGCCTGCAGTGGGATTTTTTTCTTTTCCACAGTCCCAGCGATCGTACCCAAAGCCTCACACACACTAGGCAAGTGCTACACCGCTGAGTATAGCCCTAACCCCAGTGGGAATACCTTAATGAGACAGATACCTCATCTCCCCCAATAAACCTAAGTTTTCAGGATAGTAATCTCTATGCATGGAATGACTCAGCCACCTGGGATACTTTTGAGAATAAAGTGAGGTTAAATATAAAATGCCATGCTTTCTGCCTTGTTACCGTTCTAGTAGATCTGAGGTTTGGCTTTGCTGTGTTTTATTTTGCTTTCTGAGGTCTCCTTATGTAGCCCAGTTTGACCTTGAGCTCATGGGTTCAGGTAATATTTTCACTTCAGCCTTCCTAGTATCGTTGAACATTTTTGCAAAGAAGCTCGCATAGGTGTCCCTAGACAGAGTACCTAGTGGCAGGGACGAGAGAGACATAAGTTGTTTGACTTTGGAACCTAGAATTTTGAGCACAAGATGCGTGCCCCTTTCCACTATGACACAGCTGATTAGCCAGCCTTGTCTTTTTATATCAGTTCTTTATTACTAAATGTATTCCATAATTCCCAAGTGAGAATATCCACATAATGTGTTCCGTCTTAATAACTATTATGACTCTTTGGTGCCAGATACCTGGCAGCTTTGCATGTATTTTTTCATTTAATCATCTTTAGGTACAATTAGTATTCCCATTTTATTGTTGAGAAAACTGAAATTTAGGAGCCCCTCATCATATTATTTGGGGAGTACATCCACTGAGAACTGTGACAACTTCATTCCCATTTCTTACCAAGCAATTTTTGAAGGAAAGAGAAGAGACCATGCTGGAGTGACACTACAGTCCTGCGCTTTTTGTGTGTTTAGTATCATTTAGTAGTCCTACTCGGTCCCATAGTTTCAGTTACCATAATTTGATGACTTCTGTCTTAGTTACTTTCTCATGGCTGGGACAAAATAGCCGATAACTGCAAGTTAAAGAGGAAGGGTTTATTTTAGCTCACGGTTTATAGAGGTTTCAGTCCATAGTTAGCTGGCTCCAAGGCAGAGTGGCATGGCAGAGGGGGAAAAGTTCATGGCATGCAGATAAGAAATGAGACATGCTTTTTCCTTTCCCTTTTTATTCCATCCAGGTACGAGCCTATAGGTTGGTGCCACCTACACCCAGGGTGGGTCTTCCCTCTTCAATAAATCCATCACCCATACCCACAATGATGCTAAATAAATCAGTGGACTAACTCAGTATCACACATCCATGATCCAGTCATTCCCAAAAGCCCACCTAGGAGTATATGGGTGGGAGGGGTCTAGATATAAGCCATCACAACTTCCAAGTACATATTTTCAGTTTATATTTCTTCTGTTCCTTCAGGGTCCAGCCTATGGCCTGTGGACCATTTGCTATATTTTTTAATGTTATAATAAATATTTTAAGTGAATTATGTTTTTTACATATATATATGAACTATATGTAGTGCAAGACAGTTCCACTACATTTAGTCCAGTCCAGGTACACCAACAGAAAGATTATATACCCATGGAACTATAGACTAACATATCCGTTCATAATCTCCATTTGAATGTTCTGTATCAGTGGTGGCAAACTCGTGACATGTGTGCTGCAGTGGTCTATTTGTTATCATTGAAAGCTCTAAAAGTTTTGCCATCACTGTTCTGTAGATGTCTCAGACTCGTGTGTGTGTGTGTGTTTGGAGAAAACAGGTCTTGCTTTGTAAGTCCATGTTGACCTTCAACTTGCTTTAAGTTACCTAGGGTAGCCTCAAACTCAGGATCTTCCTGCCTCATCCTCACAAGTTCTTAGATTAAGGCGTTCACCACCATTCCTAGCTAGGAGTAATGTTCTAAAGTACAGACTTTAATCGTCATTCCATTGCTTTTTTAACTTCAGTGTTGCCACATTGCTTTCAAAATTGCAGTGGCATCAGCCTGTATTTCTGGGTACTTGAGAGGCTAAGATGGGAAGATGATGAGTTCCAATCCAGCCTGGGCAACATAGCAAAACCCTGGTTTAGAAATAAATAAATAAAGGTAGGCCGAGGATTTAGCTCAGTGGTGCCTTGCCTGCCTGGCAAGTGCAAGGTCCTGAGTTTGATTCCTGGTTCCAAAAAAAGGGCCGTGCATGGTGGCATATATCTGAGGCAGGAGGATCATCATGAGTTGGAGACCAGCCTGGGCTACATAGTCTGTTCACAGCCAGCCTGAATGATGCAGTGAAACCTATCGCAAAAAAAGAGGAGCAGGGTAGCACACATCTGTAATCCTTATATGCTGGAAGCCTGAGATATAAGGATCACAAGTTCAAACCCATCCTGGGCAACTTAGCGACTTAGTGACATCTGTTTCAAAATATATAATATTTTAGAAAGGGCTGGGAATGTAGCTCAGTGTAAAGGCACTGGGTGCAGTCCTTAGTACTGCCAAAAAAAATTGTGTTGTGTATATACTGATTGGATATTGTGGATGCTATACACATCCATACATCAAGGGGCTGGGGATTTAGCTCAGTGGTATCACACCTGCCTTCCAAGCGCAAGGTTGTGAGTTCGATCCCTGGTACAAAAAAAGAAATAGTGTGTGTAGTAAATGCATTTAATGGCAACAAAATGTTCAAAAAAGTCAAAATTGAATTTCTCACAGAAGTGGCAATTTGGTCAGAAGATAGAATTCTGTTTTGAATTTATAGGGTTAATCTGACATTACAAAAAAGATGTGCTTCTGAGGGAGGAGCACTTTTCTCAGCTAACTGAAAATCTTCAAATTTTTCTCTTACGGTGGTATCCTCAGTTTTCACTTTAAATATACACTTTTTATAACAAATTATTTACTATTAAGAATGAATGATGGTGCTCAGTGGCACTGCGCCTGCCTTGAAAGCCCAAGTTCCTGAATTTAATCCCCTGTACCAAAAAAAAAAAAAGTAGTTTCTTGTAATCCATCTACTCTGGAGATTGAGGCAGATTTAGAGTTTGAGCCCAACCTGGGCAATTTAATGACTTAGTGAGACCCTGTCTGAAAATTAAAAATTAAAAACTACTGAAGATGTACCTCTGCTCTATGTGATAGCCCTAGGTTCAATCCCCAGTGCCATGCTAAAAAAAAGTTGCTACGTTTTGTGTGAATGTATATTTTTAATTTATTTTGGGTCTATGTCTTGGAGTGGAATTGCTGGGTCATGTGATGGGTCTTATATTTAAACTTCAGTGAAACTTCCAGACTTTTTCAAAGCCGCTGCACCGTTGTATATTCTCATTGGCACCGAGGGAAGAAAGTTCTAGTTTCTCCACATTGTTTTAACACTTGTCTTTTTATCTGTTTATTATAGCCATCCTATTGAGTATAAGGTGATATGCCTTGTCATTTAATGTATTTACTTGATGTCTGGTGATGATCATCTTTTCATGTGCTTATTAGTACATTAATTTTTTACATATTAATAAATTATAAAAATAGAAAAACAAATTATAACTTATTCTATATTGTTTCTCCCCAGATGATGGAAATAAAATCACAAACATTATCAGCATCAGAAAAAAGGAAAAGGAGTGGTATAGGAGAAGAAAATGACAGTAAACTATATGGATCATTAAATATACTTTTAGAAAAAATAGACGGAGTACCAGAAAAAAAAGATAAGACTTTAGAACAAGTTGCAGCAGAATGCAGCCCAAATATGTCCCTGAACAAACAAAATGTGAATTCACCTTATTCTGTGTCAGCCATAGCTGATGAATCACAGAAGCAACTGGAAGACAAAAAATCAGAAGACTGCTTTATGCCAGTTGTGCTTTCTCCAGATCCAGGTACATGGCCCCGAATTTTGAATATTAAGCAGCGGGACACACTTGTTGAGAATGATCCACCTCAAGTAAGAAATTTTGACTTTCCAAAAGACAACACAGGGAGGAAGTTTTCAGAAACTTACTATACACGAATTCTTCCAAGTGGTGAAAAAACCACTAGATCCTGGTTACTTTATTCTACTTCTAAAGATTCTGTGTTTTGCCTATATTGCAAACTCTTTGGGGAAGGAAAAAATCAACTGAAAAATGAGAATGGATGCAGAGATTGGCAGCATTTATCACATATTCTTAGTAAACACGAAGAAAGTGAGATGCACCTCAACAATAGTGTTAAGTTTTCAAAGTTAAAATCTGATTTGAAAAAAAATAAAACTGATGAAGCTGCAGGACACAGATTATGTGAAGATGAAAGAAATGGTGGTGTCCTGCTGTTGTATACATAATGTGCCCAATTTGGTTTCTGTCATTACTTAGAAAAGATCTGGGGACAGGGATTTAGCTCAGTGGTTCCGTCATCTGCCTCGCAAGCGCAAGATTCCGAGTTTGATCCCCGGTACCAAAAGAAAAAACTTGCACGTAGTAGATAGTCATTCAACAGATAACTCCTGAAGAAGAAAATTTTTTTAAAAAAGAAAAGATCTGTACCACGAGTCAGTGTCAGTCAGTCCTGAGCTGTAATGAACATAAATAGCTAATTAGCAGTAAGTATAATAGCAGATAAATAGTAAAGAGTGTTTCTGTTCCAAATTTAAAACTAATTGGATTCAATAGTGATTGCGAAATTTAGTAAAGGCAATTTCTCAGTTCTCAACTTTTTACAATTGGCAATTGAGAACTGCTGTTTAACAGGTTTGATTAATATTCTGGTTACTATGAAACCGGTGCCGGTTATGTTGGTACACTCCTATAATCCCAGCACTCAGGAGGATCACTGCAAGTTCGAGGCCAGCCTAGGCTACCCATTGAGTTTAAGGCAAGCCTAAACTACGTAGCGAGACTTTGTCTCAGAAACAACAACAAAAAAGAAAGCAGAGGTAGGAAAGCCTTGCCTTTATTAATACCAGTTGAATAGGATAGTTATGTGAACATATTCTCAGCATTATTAAAGACATTCAGATAGTTTCAAGAACAAAATAGGGATCTCAAACTATAGCTTTTTCCTTTTTAACCAAATATTTGTGATTTACTCCTTTGAGCAAAACTCGGGAGTAGGGGCATGGTGATGGTGGTAGTACTGGAGATTGAACCCAGGGTTTTTGCACTGAGCTACATCACTAGCCCTTCTCTTTCTGAGCTTTATTTATTTGTTTTTTTGAGGCAGGGTCGCTATAAGTCAGTAAATTGCTCAGGTTAGGCTCCAACTTGCAATCCTCACGCTTCAACCTTCCAAAATTTTGAGATTAAAGGCATATACACCATGGCCGCTGGCTTGAGCAAAACATTTCTACTTGACCAAAACAGCATTATTGTATTAAAGGTGAATGATTTGCATTTCATTGATTTTATATTTTTGTTTTAATTTAATTTGTAAGTCTAACTTTTACTGTTGCATAAGAACTATAAACATAAAGAATATATACCTACTCTTATATTGGTCCAAATATTTTAAAAATTAAAATAAAAATATTATTAAGTTAACCTTCTAGTATTGTGAATAATGTGTTTGGTTTTTTTTGTAAAGGAGACTGAAATTTGAGAAATTACAAATCTCAATTTTCAGTGTCTTCATTTATATGAATTTAGTAATTCTCTCATTTGCTTCTGATTTCTGATTCCAGTTTTATCATATACTAAATTCTTACATATATTTGGGCTTCTTTCCTTTCAAGACTTCTTGTGTAAAAGAAAATGGCTTATCAACAGTGATTAAGGCAGAGCCAGATGTGGTGGCACATTCCCATAATCCTAGCACTCGGGAGGCTGAGGTGGGAGAATTACCCCCAAGTTCAAGGCCAGCCTGGTCTACATAATGATTTCAGTGTTAGCCAGAACTATATAACCGTATCTCAAAAATTTTTTTAAAGTTATTAGAGCAGAAGATATTCTTCTAGATGGGCCAACACTAGGAATACTTGCAGACTTAGTGATTGCAGTACATAAGATTATTTTTAGAATATCCACAAAAATCATTCTCATTAAATTCTAGCCCGGGATTTCGCTCAGTGGTGCCGAGCCTGCCTTGCAAGTGCAAGGTCCTGAGTTCAATCCTTGCTACAAAAAAAAAAAAGAAAGAAATGGCAGTGCCAATTATATTGATTTATTGGGTTTGTTTTTGTTTTGTTTTTTGGTACTGGGGATCCAACTCGGGACCTTCCACTTGCAAGGCAGACGGCAGAACCACTGAGCTAAATCCCTGGCCCACTTGGGATTTTTTCATCCTGCAGATGATGAATGATTTTTTTCCCCATAATCCTCTGACTTACAATTTCTTGGCCTCTTCTCAGTGCTATGAGCCAAAAGAGTTGCTAATAGCCCTTTTTTTTTTTTTTTTTTGAGATGGTCTCACTGTGTTGCCAAGGCTGGTTTCAAACACCCAGACTCAAAGAATCTTCCCGCCTCAGCCTCCCAAATAGCTAGGAATATAGGCACCATGCTCAATTCAAATAGTTTATACCACCAATCTCCAACATTTTTAGCCAAGGACCAGCTTTGTAAAAGACACTTTTTCTACAGACAAGAGGGGAGGGTAGTTTCAGGTTGATTCAAACACCTTACATTTATTGTGCACTTTACTTTTATTATTGCTTTATAATATATAATGAAATAATACAGCTGTTTATAATGTAAAATCAGTGGGAACCCTGTCTTTGCAGCTAGACAGTCCCATTGTGGGTGATGGGAGAGAGTGACAACTAAAGTGTGTTTCTACGTCCGTTCTGTTCTGTAATCTCATTTTGGTTGCTGTCACCGCAGAAAACTCCGTCACACCAGTAGGATGTTGGGGATGCCCCCATGCTTTTCAGTGCTTTTGTGACAATCTCAAGATATTCCACCTTGACTTTAATCCAGAACATGGAGATTTGCAGTTGTCTCCAACATACTTTGAAGGCTATCATCATTTGCTGTCTCAAGCAGTTATCCTTTTTTTTTTTTTTGGTACCGGGGATCAAACTCGGGTCCTTGTGCTTTCGAGGGAGGCGGTGGAACCACTGAGCTAATCCCCAGCCCTAGTTATCCTTTTCTAGCATGGACAAAGTGATTCATCTGTTGTATTTCATTCCTTTCCACTTTCAGGGTCTTTCATTTTGGGGAAGGAAAGCTGAAATAGCCAATCGTGCACCAGCTGGAAGAAAGGGCCCTGGTTCAACCTCTTTCTCAAAATTTCTGCTAATGTTTGAAACGTCAAACTCCCAAAGTTCACTCACTGCCCCCATAATTCCAGTTTACCTTTTTTGGGGGGCGGTTCTGGGGATTGAACTTGGGTCCTTGTGTTTGTGCAGCAGGTGGTGAAACCACTGAGCTAAATCCCCGGCCTCCAGTTTACCTTTAAATGCAGCCACTTTATCTGCTAATTGAGCACAGCTGTCGTTTTCCCCTGAAGTGATAGATTGAATTTGTTGAGCAGGTTGAATGTGTCACACAGCACGTTTTGTGATCCAATCTGTGTTACTGAAATGTGCTGCTAGTGGTGACTTTCTAAAACAAATCTCTGTAGTGACTCTCATAACTAAAACCTCTGATCAATGATCAATGTTTAGAGAGCCATCTCACTTCTCTACATAAAAGACATGTACTCTGCCTCTATCCCCTCACAGAATTGCACAGACATGAATTAAGGACAGGTACTTTAATGTGGTTGATGATTCATAATTGAGCCAGGTGTGACACACACCTGTGTAACAGCAAGGAGTCACATATATGTGACCAGAGAAATTTGAGGTTCAGATTTGCATGAACAAAGAACCACACAATGATTTTTAAAAGATGAGTGTAAGTTTATTATAAAAGTATAGCAGATATGAGCATAGTCAACATATTACCACACGACAAGGCAGGGGACAGCACCAAAGATGAAGGGGAACCCTCTGGGGAAGGATCTTATGTGAGACATAACCTTCAGCAGGTGAGAAAAAGCCACGTCACACCCAGTTTCTCAGTGTCTTATGTACTGTGTTCAGACAAAAGTGACGTGCCAACAGGGCTGCACAGCTGGAAAGGATGGTACCCAGCCTTGGCTAGAGCCTGGGAACAATCAGTCTGAAAGTGTTAATGGTTGTCTCTATATACTCTGCTCAAGAGATAGCCTCCCTCCAGAAAGGCATGTAGCCAAGGTCATTTTAGTGAACACATGCATTCCACATGACTCATCATCATATTTTAGCTCTCCCTGACAGCCTATAATCCTGGCACTTGGGAGGTCGGGCCAGGAGGATCAGTACAAGTTGAAAAACTTCCTTGGCTTAAGTGGAATCACTCCATGATTCATATTCACATCTTGTAAAATACTCAGGTGATGTTTTTTGGCTGGCCAGCATTTCGCTATGGATGACAATACCTCGATAGATTCACATTGATCTCAGTAGTAAAACCAGAAAGCCATCTAGTTGTGGCAACTCTGTTCTTGCATGTATCAACACAAAATGACCAATTCAGTTTTCCTGATATATAATCATTCAAAGACCTGAATAGTTGTGCAGCTGTGGTATTGGTCGGCAATGAAAGTTCACGTAACATATCCTCATTCCTATCTTGAAAAATACAATGCACAAAAATAAGCATTGCTGCGTTGTTGTCAACATGGGTGGACTTGTCAACCAGGATTGTGTACCACGGTGTCTCATCAATATAACTGTGCCTCAATTAACCTCTGTTTCACCAATTCATCTAATTATGGTGTTAGCTAAAAGAGGAACACGTACCACCTTTTGAACTGCAGCCTCTCCTAAAAGTTCATGACAAATACCCTTCACAGCAGCAGAATCAAGTCTTCATCAATAGTAATGGGCTTCTTAGCATAAGCAATATGCTTTAGTTTAAGCTTAAGCCATAAGAATAATGCTGTCAGTGCAGACACATTTGATGAAGTTTTGAAGGTTTCATGGCCTCATTGGACAGCCAGACATACTGTACGAAGCAGGCTTACAGAATGTGAATGACCTGTTGGAATGAACTCATAGTTTAATTAGGACTCTTAAGTACTACTTTTTTTTTTGGTACTGGGGACCATGAAGTAGGTGCAACGCCCCTGAACTAAATCCCTGGCACAAGTAGTACATGTTTGCAGTACACAGTGATTACATCCATCATGAGTTGGTACATGTACATAATACATCTTAATGTTTCTTCCCCTTCTCCTCTTCCCCATCAGTATTTTCTTTTAAGGACTGCTTTCTTTTTGTTGGCAGTCATAGAGTCTTCTGTCCCATCACTGAGCCATTCCCCCTTTTCAAAGAACCTCCCCAGTCCTTTTAGTTTTACTAACTTTGGCTAGGGTTAGCTCGGCGGTTCACCGAAGCTCATTGAGACAAGTGCACAGTGCAGGAGAGACGCACAGACAGAAGCAGTAACTAAAACTGGGAGGCCGTGAAGGGACTAAACTAATTGTCAGACCCTGACCTAAAGTGTGCCATGAGAAGCAGCTCTATGACTGAAGTACATGAACTCATGTGCTAAGACTACAGGAATGTGCCACAATGCCTGGCTTAATTTTTATTTTTAAAATAGCAATTTTTTCCCATTAAGTTTCTTTGTAGATTTTAGTTGTACAACACAGTTACGTTCATTATTTGGATCTTGTAGCTTTACATGATGCATCTTGGTTCTTATTTTTTCCCCCTTCCCCTGCCCTCCCTTCACCCCCTCCACCCTCCCTATTTACAAAGACTTTGTTTCCATTTTTTCCTTTTCTCATATTTTTTCTTTTCTCTTCTTTCCTTTCCCCTACCCCTCCCACGTCCCCTACTCCTTTAGACCTTTTCTTCCTATTACACAATATCAATTGTACATTTTGATCCTTATTTACACCTTTAGTTTTTCACACCAGAGAAACTAGTTGGTGTTTACACGTGTGTCCTATTTATTCCACTTAAGAGGATGGCCTCAGTGTGCATCCACTTAGCTATAAATGTTTCTAGTTTGTCGTTCTTTATGGCTGAGTAGTACTCCATTTTATAAAAAAAAACAACACATCTTCTTTATCCAGTCTCAATGAGCGGACTGGTGGGGAACAAAGCTGCCTGAAGCCACCAGCATTGCCCCACCCCCATCTGAGCCTCCCAGCCACGAGCAGACCAGTGAGGAGCAGAGCCATGCAGGTGCCTGGAGTACACCCCAACGTGCTGCCCCCTACCCCTGCCTCTGGCATCCTGGCTGCATCTCAACCTGGATCCACAGTGTAGAGGCACAGGGGGTCATAAAGGCCATTGTCCTGAGCTCAAGAAGATAGACCAGAAGTGAACAACAGAAAGCGGGCCTTACTCCTTCTAAGTCCCCATCTCAAAGGGTAAAGTTGCTATATTGAAGAGTCTATTCACTATAAACATATTTTGGGCTGGTC